ATTAGACCTTTTCATTCGAATTTTAAAGATATATATATAGGCTATATAACTACAGCTACATATAACTACTAACTAACTAACTACAGCTACATCATTTTTTATAAAAAGCTTTAATTAGCACTTTTGTTTTTTAACAGTTTTGGCCACAAAATCAATGACGCTTTGGCTGTAATGCAATGGGTGTTTTATTCAGCATTCTGCATTAATTTTCAAACATAAAGCAAGATAGGTTGGCCAGACTGGTTTTGTTTAAGTCAAAAATACTATTTGACATCACTGAACCAACAATTTATACCAACAAAAGTATTTTTATGGGTTATATCAGGTAGAAATAGCTCTTTAAGTGAATATTTCCAGGTTACCACTTTTTTACAGTGTATTTTTTGCATATTGAATTTAAATTGGTTTAAAGGGGTCATATGATGCAATTTCAATTTTTCCTTTCTCTTTGGAGTGTTACAAGCTCTTGGTGCATAAAGAAGATCTGTAAAGTTGCAAAGACTAAAGTCTCAAATCCAAAGAGATATTCTTTATAAAAGTTAAGAGTCAACCACGCCCCCCTAAAACGGCTCGTTCTAACACGCCCCCACATGTCTACATCAGGATGTGGGAAGATTTGCATAATGCCGCCCAAATGTTCACGCAAAGAAAGAAGGCTTAACTTTTATTCTCGCTGTAGTATTGTTGTTGCCGCCGCCATGTCGTGAAGGCGCTGTGTTTCGTTGTGAAAGCGAAACTAATTTGGTTGGCCTTCCAAAAGAGGACGATACCTATACAAAAAGATTTTCAAAAAGCATTTTAATTATTGAAATTTACATCATATTTACATAATACATAATGCATAATAACTATAATTGTGGCAACCTGACCTGACCTGACCTGAAAGTCCCTGAAATTGCTCCTCTATATATATTTACATACGCACCAATTTATATACGCAAATACATATTTGTTTAATATCTGCTGTCCAGCAGTATAGTTTGCATAGACACCCAGCAAACTGCCAGTAACACAAAACCTCATTAGGTACACTTTTAACAAATAAGGTTCAGGTGTAACAACTGCTGATCGGCACATTAAAAAGGTGCGTTTCGAAATACTTTGTATGTGACCGGGAGCAAAAAAAGCCATTGGCACATCATCTATCAGCATTGCTAGACACGGTTTAGCAGGCAGCTCCATTACTATCACAATATGACAAGGATACATCAGATAATCTGGGATGATAATTTTCAGCAACTTTGTCAAATCCTTCTGCCAGTTCAGAGGCTCCACATTTCTATTTTTATTTTACTATATCCACATTGATTATTTCAGCAGTTAGAATCACATATCCATTATTGTGTGTACATGATTATATGTGTACATAGTTAATGAGTATTGTTGCCGCCGCCATGTCGTGAAGGCGCTGTGTTTCGTTGTGAAAGCGAAACTAATTTGGTTGGCCTTCCAAAAGAGGACGATACCCGCGTCGTCATGCCTAGAGCTGATCCGTGCTGGTCACTGAGGAAATACATCAACTTAGTGCTGTGGATCGCCGGATCGGCTTTCACCGTGGACGAAGCGGAGTCCAGCCCGGGGTCGTCACATGTGGTTGCCGCAAGCCTGCCCACCACCGCTCACTAAAGCCGGACTCCGCTCACTCTAGCCTGCCGTGTGTGACGCTCTGTTTCATTGTGAAAGCGAAACTACTTTGTTTGGCCTTCCAAAAGAGGACACGACTAGAAATCAGTGGTTAAGTTGTATTTACAACACTGTTCCAGAACAATTTAACCCAAATATTCAGATGTGTGCAGCACATTTTATGTAGGACTTTTTCCTGATCCTGGTAAAGTAGACTACAATGGCGGTTGTTCTGACTCACAGACTGTAGCATCATATGACCCCTTTAAATAAGCACTGGTGTTGGAAAGCAATTACACACAAACTATTTTGTTATACTTATGTAAAACATGACATAAAGATATATGCACACAAATAAACACATTCTGAATCAATACAATGACTAACGAGAATTTTTCTAACATGAAAGATTTTGACACTCAGTGACTGGGACAAAACAAAATACTGCAGTTGAGCAATTAAACAGACATTGGAAAAACAATCAGACACAGGCCCGGGCAAACAGTTTGTGAAATGCAGATGAAAGGTCTGCCACATGATGCTCCCTCATGTCTCCAGTTTGTTAAAATCGAACTGATCTTGTAGCAGGGTGACTTAAAATAAAATATGAATGGATGAATGAATAAATAGATACATTATACAAATATTTTTTATAATTTTTTTTATAAATTATAAATTGTATTGTATTGTATGTTTTTCTATGTGACCAATTATGTGTTTAAAATAGAATTACTGAATGAGAAAAAAGGAACTCCAACATTCATCTGAATTAACCCTTATGCAATTAATTTTTCCTAGTATTAAAATAATAAAAAGGTCTCTCTTAAAATATTCTCATGTATAAAAATATTATACTTTGCATTGGTCATTCAGTCCATTTTGAAAACCTACACAAGACGACTTAAGCAGCTGTTCGCATATAACTGTTAACTATCAGCTCAATCAAACTCTCCTGAAAGGTCAGATGTGGAGACCTCTACACCCACATTTGCTACAATCTATGAACAATACATCACTGTAGCCACACTGTAAAAAGTGATGACCAGCAATTGTTACCTTTAAGAGCTATTTCTACCTGATTGAACCCATAAGATTGAGTTTTGCTGGTATAAATTAGTCACCATTTTTAGGTTACCGTTTTTTCAGTGCGGGATGTATGCAAATATATGCATATATAGAGAATATATGCTTATACAATATAGTCTGTCTCGACATGATTGAGGATGCAGGGTCATCATCTTTGCTTTCATATTTTTAAACACTGACAACTATCAAAATCTTTAGTAATATCTTTATTTTTCCATTGTGTCATCGTTGACTTTCGATTTAACATTATAATGCTATACATTCAACATATTAAATATTGATAAAGTTATTGTTTTGACTAACCCGCACACAGTTCTCCCAAATTACATAAAAAGCTTTCTTTTTTCATTGTAAACTATGCGTGAATTATAAACTGACCATAGATATGCCCAAACATGTCTAGAGTGTTTGCATATTTAGACGTTGTTTTATTTACCTTTTTCTCCTTGAAGTCAATACAAACCCGTGCCGAGAGTTGAATAATTGTCATAAATGTAATTCATTAGATTTGATGGCTAAAGCTTGATCAAGCATCGTGCGTTTCTAGAAGATTTTACGCAGCCGCGCAACCAGGAAGAAGACCAGTGCATGGCATCTCCATAAACAAGAAAACTGCGTTTTGAAACGCCAAACACCCTATAAGTGTCGTCTTCACACGCAGAGTAAGATTGAAGAGAATCGTGAGCGTTTTTACACCGAAAGCGCCTAAATTTGAAAATCTTGGCACTGCGCACCGGACTGTTTCCTCCCACCGATCTAACGGATTTCTGCTGCTGCTCGACCATGAAAACCCTCAGAGAGTCACCATTTTATCATTCATCGTCTGTCTTTATATTCTGCAAGCGTAATAACAACAATCAGTGCATCCACGACGCACGAACTCTAAAATAAAAGCGCATTGCTTATCCAAGCAAATATGGCACATTATTACATACGAATTCGTGGTTGAAACGTGTCCACTCGCTCCTGTCTGTAGTCTGGTTTTGAAATGAATGACTGCCACACACCACACGTCAAAATATTTGTTTTAGATTATTGCGAGAGAAAGCACATATTTAGATTTCATTGTGCATGCGTTTCTGTTGCTGTTTCGATGTGGTAACAAATAAGGACGTTCGAGATTATAAAAAGGATCTTTTACACCGAAAGCGCCTAAATTTGAAAATCTTGGCACTGCGCACCGGACTGTTTCCTCCCACCGATCTAACGGATTTCTGCTGCTGCTCGACCATGAAAACCCTCAGAGAGTCACCATTTTATCATTCATCGTCTGTCTTTATATTCTGCAAGCGTAATAACAACAATCAGTGCATCCACGACGCACGAACTCTAAAATAAAAGCGCATTGCTTATCCAAGCAAATATGGCACATTATTACATGTGAATTCGTGGTTGAAACGTGTCCACTCGCTCCTGTCTGTAGTCTGGTTTTGAAATGAATGACTGCCACACACCACACGTCAAAATATTTGTTTTAGATTATTGCGAGAGAAAGCACATATTTAGATTTCATTGTGCATGCGTTTCTGTTGCTGTTTCGATGTGGTAACAAATAAGGATGTTCGAGATTATAAAAAGGATCTTTTAATAATCTAGTTTAAAACACAGGTTTCAAGTCCCTAGATATGTAATCTTTGAATTCATTGTTTCATACATTTAGGAGATAAAACGTGTAGCCTATACCCTTTCATAAAAATGGATTTAATGACTATAAAATGTATAGAAGTACTAAAATACAGGCCTTGCACTTTGAACGTGAGTGTATGATTTAATGTCAATATAAAGCATTTTTATTAAATAGCATGCACTTTTGAGTCTTAAAATGTAGGATTAGGCCTATACTCAGTTTGACCTGAATAAGACGTGCCTTGTCATGAAAAGGTCCAAATATCTTTTTACTTATGCCACAGTATTTGTTAAATATTAATATTTTTTACATTAGACCTTTTCATTCGAATTTTAAAGATATATATATAGGGTATATAACTACAGCTACATATAACTACTAACTAACTACAGCTACATCATTTTTTATAAAAAGCTTTAATTAGCACTTTTGTTTTTTAACAGTCTCCGATCAGTTACATAGTTACATGACTTTTATTTTAGAAATTGAAAACATGTCTATCATAATTCGGACAGAAACATAGTAGCCTAAGTGTGGAGTCATTGACTCCTACAATATTTTAAAGGTGAGAAAAATGTTGCTAATTCTCGTCAAATCAATTTTAGGACAATGGAAATGAGGCTATATTCATTTATTTACGCATTTTCACTACAATGAAAGCTAAATCTGATTGTTGTCGACTGTAAGGCTCTTTCTGTGTACAGAGGTGGACGACTTGGTCTGTAACTAATTCAGTCAAAATATACAACTGCCACCGCGTTTTATTTTTCTGTTAAAAAAATTCGACAACATCAAACAACAGTTATCAATGTTCAACCAATTATATTTCATGTTTTTAATACAGTCTCATAAATGTTTTCTAGGCCTACCCGTATTTCAGTGACACGAGGCCAGAGTTAAACACACAACGTGATGAAAACATATCGTTTAACAGCTGTCTTTGGTTATTCTGCAAGGTTTTAATATTTTCAATGCGACAAAAGACAATCTTTCACAGTAAATCAATAGTTAAAAGCCATTAATTACAAGCAAAAGTGCAAGTTCAATGTCATAAAACTACACACAACAAAAACAGAGCAGTCAGGAGTTAAGCTGATTTTGACCATTATAGTGCACTTATTTCAATAAAAAGGAGATTGGTTTCTTTGAGCACATCAGTTCATTTAGGTTATCTTTTTTTGCGTGTGTTATAAATCAGGACATGTAGGACAGGTGTGGCCTGCCTGAAAGTTCGAGAAAGAAAGAATCTATACAAATAAAAAAAATGGAGACTTAGATGACCTGAAAAATATCTCATAAAAAAAAGCCAGTTGAAACGGGGGAAATGTGAAATACATGCAAGGTCAACTGAAATGTTAATTGTTCTTCACACAAAAAACAAACAAAATAAAGACAAGCCCCTGAGCCTAATATTTTACAATGCAATAAGAGGTAGTTGGCTGAATTGTCTGCAATGCAATAATTCGCTCATTCAGCATTTGTCTGCTACCTCTGTTACACAACAAAACACACAGGCCCATAGGCATAATCTCTAGCTGGATTGTGAAGGCGCAATGTTCTCTAACCACTCCACAGTTCTGTGTTTTTTGTGCATGAAAGCCAGGTCACGAGGCGTGTAACCTTTCGCGTTAGGCAGAAAAGGCGGCGTGCTGCAGTCAGACACGAGATACTGCACGACATCCAGGTGTCCCTCCCGCGCCGCCAGATGCAGAGGCAGGTTGCCGTCGGTGTCAGGGAGATTGACATCAGCACCATTCTGCGCGAGCACCCGTAGAGTGTCCAGATACCCGTCTCGCGCGGCGTCGTGACTGACGGTCAGTCGTAGGATGGGATCGCGCGCATTTGGGTCGGCGCCAGCTCCAAGCAGCGCCTCCGCTATGCACGGGCAGCCAAGCTTCATCACCTGAGATACAACCCAAAGAGAATGTGTTATTGGTACATTCATTAATTACATGAATCACTTTTAGTGAAAGTGTGAATTTTAATTAAGCCTCATGCGTGCATTATTATTTTTTTTATTTTTTTTATCACGATATAGGGTAAAATCTACATGAATGCATAAGTGATATCTATATCTAGATTTCTCTATCTATCTATACACTGTATATCTTAGAGTGCGTACCTATTATTATTATTTTTAGAAGATACTTAATTATGTAATTATAATGTAAATAGAAAGAAATCGAAGATAGGAATAGTTTGAAAGAATAACCACGACTTCACAACCTGTGACATAAAAAAATGTTTGTGGTGAAATGTATCAGTTTTAAGCACAGAACGACCTCCTAAATGATGGCTCTCTGACCTCTGATGATAATAGGTATTAAGTTATGAAGTGATGGCATAGACCTAATCGACATGCCCATGAAGAAAACAAATCCCCATACTATGAATTGTGTTTATGGAAATTTCAAGAGGAAGTTCACCAGTACATCACACGAATTGTTTAATATGGGTATAAGGCTTAATTTTACACAGCTCATTCTCGGATAATTATTATGCATGCGTTTTTTTTTAAAACTCATATTAATTAAGAGACCACATGGAACATTTACACTTTTTTATGAATTAATTTGTCACATCGCACATTTAATTGACCAAGTGAAGGTAAAAGGTGATAAAACGGTCAAAATCTAAAAAGTAGTGACCAGTCACAGCACCTAATATATACACTTTTCCTTATCCACTCATATAATTTTAACCTAAAATCGTAATATTTTATGTGTCATGTACCAACATATATAGCCTACCACATTTGCATAGGCAGAAATTGGCAGTCACTACGGCTACTAACATCGAGGATGGGGATTACCCAGTGTTCAGATTATCACTCATTCTGAAATCAAAAGAATATATTGTGTGAATATGACAAGAGCACAAGAGTAATATTAGAATATTTCAGACTGACCGAAATTAAACAGCTATATTGTGCTTGGTGTAAGTCCAGACGGCCTTCTGATAAGCAGAATATAACTGAAATAACAATTTAAAAAGCAAAAACAGTCTCTCGAGGCTTATACGATTTTAGTTAATTTATTTGATTTAATTCTAGAATTTTATCCCACCCCATAATAGGAAATAATAAACATACGCATCTACAATCACTTCGGGCCTTAGAATAGAAACTCCATGATCATTAAAAATACATTTTATCTTTGTTGTTACACTTATGTTGTAAAAATGTAAAAAACAAATACAATGATATCTGAATGATCCTAATTTAAGTGTAAAAGGCTGCCAAAATTATAATGTCAGATTTCAGTAAGCTGGTGAGCTGACTGTGGTGTAATAAAACACTTTTCAGTTTCCACAATAAATTCTTTATGTCAGTGACGCTCATTTGTTGGCATAATAAAATGTAGATCATTTGTAACAGGTGCGTACTTGTTGGTTCGCAGGTAAACTTTTTAAAAAAACCACAGGTTTAGTTAGAAGTAAATCAACCAGGCCACTGCTAGTGAGTGCAAAAAAAAGAGAGAAAAGGACAAAATGTTTTCCTGAGGCTGATGCACTATGCATTATAAACATCGTGTTTATATATGAAAGTCGTTCATGGAAATGTGAGTCTAACCTGCAATGGTGTCCTGCCGTACTTGTTCTTCTCATTAACGTTCACGTTGCTTTGCAGTGTCTGCTCAATTTCTTTCAGATCTCCAATCGCAGCTGCAGTGCTCAGCCTATTTATAGCTGTGTCTTCGGCCATTATATCCTGACAAAGGAGGTAGAATATCTCTGGTGCTTGCGTTTAAAAAAAATGTCCGCTGGTTTATATGTAAAAAGGACTACAAAGCTGTAGTAAATAGTCCGATCCTGCGGCCCCCTAAAAAAATATCCGTTGGAGATGCGCCAAGGTCCACCCACATTAATATCGTCCTACCGAAACCATCGGAACCTTCGGAGAAAGCAGGGATGCCATGCACGTTCAAGAATTAGATGGGGGGGAAAAAAGGAGAAAGAAACGAAACATCCTCTTTTATTATTAACAATGCGCCAAGTTCCTCCCCGTGTCCATGAATGACATGCAGCTCTCCTGTGGTCTTGGTCTAGATATGATCTCACATTCAAACAGATCTGTAGTAGTCACATGAAAAATGCTCGTATCTGAGAGCCAAACTTCCCTTTCATGAGTCCTCTGATATGAACTATATGCAGGTGCAATGGGCTGGAGAACTGCGATGCGTTCATGGCATTCGCAGATGTTGTCATTTCAAGCCTCCGAAGGACCTCTGAAACATAAACAGAGTTAGAAGACTGTTATTCCGCGAGGACATTTCTATTATGCATCCAGCGGCTTTGCAAGCATGTGTTGTAAGTTTTATGCAAGCTTCCCGCCCATTTTGAATATGAAACGTCAAAATGCGAATTTTCCTTGATGTGCACATCAAAGAACGCTGGTATGAGGGTTATCAGAACTTGTTAACTGACACTAGCCCGGTATTACAAACGGACACGCGTAGAAATAAGCGTTAATATGTTTTCAGTCAGCGACCAAGCGTTTCAAACTGCAGGCGTGAATATCTACAAACGTTCTGTCGTGGTGCTTCCTCGCGCACGGACGTGCAGTTACACTGTGACGATTCAGCCGATGACGGACGACGTCATAATGGGTCATTTCAAATGAAACATTGTATCCTCTACCTGCAGAATGGTTAGGCTACGTCGCGGGCATCGAGTTATCCTCTTCGACCGGTTATGGGCGTTGAATAAGCTGGTTGGAAGACAGCGGACTATGTCAGAGCGTCTGCCGCTGTTGTTTGACATCACTCCGTTTTTGAAATAAAGGGCCAACACTTCCGCCCACTTTTTCTAACAGACGCGGAGTGAGGCGGGACTCAACGGTAATGTTGCTGGGGAGAGGCTGAGAGATGCACTTTCTTCTCACAGGTTCTGGCCGTGTTAGACAGTTCATCCTTGAGTTGTGAAGGCTTTGAAGAGTTGGTATTAGCAGTGTAAAATCCCCCTCTCCATAAATGTGTGTTTGAAGTGAAATTGATTCAAATTACTGGTAGGATGAAAGGCTGTAAAACAGTGCAAGTTTTATATTCAATCATGTGAACTGCCGAGATGAAACCATCCAGCGCACCACAAGTACAATCTGTCTGATAATGGCCAGTTTGTCAATATTTGACCATCGCGTTGTTTTGTTTATTCATTGGAATTAAAGCCATATAGCACAGCAATAGCTAATATGTTTACATTAACACTACTACACACTAATATATTATATGCTACTTAGACATACTGGTACATCCCTGCTCATAAACACTAAACCAGCCTATACTGATTTGCTGTGTTTTAGAGGATTTTGGGCACATTTCAGTGGGCGAGGCTGTGAGACCAGCAAACCAGCTTTATTTATTTATTTTTCTAAATGTTATTTTATATTTGATTTTTTCCAGGCCAGGCAGGCATGAATAGAGGCGAGGTTTATAAAAACTCAAGTAAGTTTAATTGCAATGGATGTCTCTGGTTCACTGGTTTAAGATGGTCTAGCTCAGGGTTCCTCAAATCTTGCCCTGGAGGGCCAATGCGCTGCAGAGTTTAGCTCCAACCCTGATCAAACTTACTTACCTGTGATTTTCTAATGATCCTGAAGACATTGATCAGCATGCCCAGGTGTGTTTGATTAGGGTTAGAGCTAAACTCTGCAGGAAAGTGGATCTCGTGGGCCAGATCTGAGGATCCCTGGTCTAGCTGGTCTCCTAGCCTGGCCAAGATCAAGGCCTCTTAGCCTTAGCTCTAAACCCCTCTAAAACCAGCATTGTGGGGCTGGCATACCTGCTAAGACCAGTGAAGTCTGGTTTATTGATTTGTTTTTGTTTTATTATTTTTGAGACAAGCTTTACATTTGTAGGTTAAAGTTTAAGTAACGTTAAGCTTTAATTGCAATGAAGTCTCTAGTTTGCTGGATTAGGATGGGTTTACCTGGTTTTAACTGGCCGAGATGGTGCTCTGCTGTTTAACAAGCTAATTTTTTTCGTCCTGACCCACTGAAAATTGCTCTAAACCCATCTAAAACCAGTCTGATATGGCTTGCATGTTCCTGCTAAGACTAGCAAAATCAGCTTAGACTTGTTTAAGCTTTTTTTAGCATAGATGACATAAAGGAAACCTGTGAGTTTAGTCGGAGTATCCATTAGTAAAATTATGATTTTTCTAAAATCTTGCTAACGTTTGGTTGCTCATCATGGTTGGCAGTGTTATATCTTCATGTTTACTAAATAATAAACTCATTTTGGTGGGGTTGCAGTCGGAGTCGGGTAGTGAACTGTGAAAATTGCTACAGACAAAACAATCATTGCTTTGGAACTGTCTACAGTGCCCATATACATTTTTAATAATATATTTTTAAAGCTTTTTTGTTGTTGTTGTTTAAAAAAATGTCATAAGGTAGTCAAACAAGTCGCTTGTATAACAGTCTATTCAAATTCAACCGCGGCCCTGCTGCTGCTTTAAAAATTACACCGCTCTTTCCAACCGTGTGCGGGGCGCGACAGTTCACAGCACTTCTTTACGGCAGCCGTAAGATGTTTCTGTTGCTTTGAACGCCGATCCAGAATACCAAAGTGACGATAACAAAAAAACTGAAAGCCCCCAAACACTGACAACACGGACCCGAAGAGCAGCATTTATACACGGTTACTTGCCGCACACTGATAAGCCGTGTCCTGAGCTGCTTTTTTGAAATCGCTGGTTGATATTTTTGGGGTTTTTACATGAGTCGTTAGCCTCTCACTGCAATGGCCTCCGACAGCAACATGGACAGAGAAATGATCCTGGCCGACTTTCAGGTGGGCTTCCTCACATAAATACGGATAATCTGTGATTTTATAAGATCTGGATGTGTAGATCAGACCCGTTCCTGTGTCTGCTCAGAGCTAGCCGGGCAACGGCTATTGAAGTCACTTCTTTTTGTTGACATGTCTCGAGATGATCAGCTGTCAGTGGCTTTGTTTCAATTATTCAGCAAAAATGAAATATGGAAAGCACACGACTAGACAAAATAACAATAGACAGCTTAAAATGCATAACGTTGGTGTCGTCTGCTTATATGGGACTAGAAAACATTACTAGACTGTCATCTGAAGCCTTATCTGTCTTTTCATGACCCTGTAATGACCAGAAGCTGTCAGATGACTCTGCACGGTTTCTACACTGCCATCACCCGTCACATTCATGTTTTTCAGTTTGTTTGCCTTGGGATTTTAAATATTAGTCAGTTTTACAAGTATTGACACTATGTTTTGATTGGCAAACTGTTTATTTAGTAGGAGCAGAAAGAGATCTGAAATATGTAGCAATTACAAATATTTTGATATGGCATGCACCAAAATTGAAGGTTGCTTATATGAGTCAGATTACAAGTATTGACACTATGTTTTGATTTACAGACTCTTTATTTAATAGGAGAAAAAAGAGATCTGACACATGTGGCAATTACAAATATTTCACCAAAATTGAAGGTTACTTATATACACTGTGTTATATTATGACTTTAAACTTAAAGGTTTACAATAAACATCTCTCATATAATTTAAAAGCTTTTATATATGTAATATTCAGTGCATAAATTAATAGAAATTCATTCTCTCAGAAATGTATTTTTGGCCTGTTCTGTTATTTAATTCTTTAAATTTAAAAAGAGGACTTTTTGGTTTATGGTATTTTTAAAATGCAAATATCAAAACCAGTTTGTTCTTTTTATTTCAGGCATGTACCGGAATCGACAACATTGCTGAGGCAATCACACTTTTAGAACTCAACAACTGGGACTTGGTGGTAAGATGCACTTTGTTCATTAAATCTGTAAGACTGACTCACGGCTAGATTTTCTTCTAACCACAAACCATTTTAACAAGTGCATGTGTCTCCTGCTTATTGTTTGTTTGTGGATTTTGGTGATACATCGGAGACAAAGCCACAATGTTTTGTACAAAAGCTATTTAATGGTACCATTGTTCACAGGATATTCTGGCACAGTTCTGTAGTAGCTGCATTTCCATATACCAGTTAAGTTGAATTACAATAGAAATTAGTCATCAACAAAACCTAGTCAGTCATTTTTGTCTTTACAAGACTTTGTTAATTTTATATTTTTGACACTCAGTGAACAACTGGTTTATAATCAAGGGCGTCATGTGTCTAGCTTTTTTTCAGGAGGCATCAGTAAGAGTTCTAACACTGTGAGTCACGATTGTGTAGTGGTGTAATTTTATAGTATGCATGAGGGGATTGGTTCAGATCCTGATATTATATAACATAAAACTTTATAATGAACCAAGCTAAATTACAGCTGTACTCGACTGCTGGGGATCACCCTGCATTTTTGTGTATGGAAAACAGCAGGACTAACTTTTTGATAGTACCATTTGTGCTTCATAGGAAAAACCCAACCCCCAATAAAAATATATATTACTCTTTGTAATAAAACCTAAGCTTTTGCTGTAATAATGTCTTCAGAGACAATTATATATTTTTGAATTATTAACCGAATGAAAACATATCATTAAGCCTTTGCTGAAGCTATTCCAGAATATTAATAATATTATAAGTACTGCATCGATTCAGTAAATCATGTATTCTTTAGCTTATAGAAATCAGTTAATTTAAACTTTCAGCATTGGACACCGCAAGGCTAAACTGCACCTTATCTCTGCATTTGGAAGCGCAACACAGCAACACAGATTCCTTAGCATGTGTAGTTCATCTAAATAAGTGCTAAAGGACTGTTGTGTTGACCAATTCTATTTTTTATTTTATTTTTTTTTGTAATTCCCCCAACCACCTGCATGCAAAGTGTCCATGGTTCTGCATGAATCACATAAGTTAAATCACATATTTTAGCTTAAAAACTTTAGGGCACTATGAATTTTGTACCTGCAATAGTGGTGGAACTTAATTATCAAATGTATAAAAAAAATGAATTAGGCATGAATTGGTGCATGAATTAGGACATTTTGGGTCAATACTGATGTTTTAATAGTGTGATTAGGCAATGAGCCTCTTTAACTAAACTTTTAAAAGCATTTAAGAGCTTTAAACCACATACTGTAGCAACATGCACCACACTGTAAAATTATGTAAAAGATTGTGAAATTAATACATTCAAACATATAGGCAGTCTATTTACTAGCTCCTCAACCGATCCGATGAGAAATCACTAGTATCTCAAATTTATTTGCCCTCTTTTAGAATTTTGTTTAGATTCAGTGATGTAAATCACCAATTACTAAACATTTGCAAAAACATGATTAGGTTTTGTTATTGCAGGATAAACTTTATAACAACGTAAGCATGAACTGTTTCTGTCAATTTACATCTTGAATTCAGTCTTCAGCTTCCGTCTGACTGCTGCAACTCCTGTTACATTAAGAACACTTCAATTAGCTTTTTTTAAATTTCATTTGTTAGACATTTAATTTTAGAGACATCATTAGAGGCAATAAAGTGTGGTAGAGAAATGCATGCCCAATCATGGGTCAAGATCCATACCTTTTTTTTTCAAGCAGGAACTGTTTCACCCCTAGTGAACAAATAATAGTTCCTTTGTTGCTCCTACTGTGCAGAGCTTATGTGTCTAGGTGTCTGTTTCAGTCGATAATGCTATTTGAACAGACAGTAATATCTGCTGCAGTCTAGTCTGCAGAGACCCACACCTTTTTATAGCCTTTCATCTTATCTATTGTAAACAGTTCATTTAGACAGATCAAAACGGTCCTAAAAATTCCTTGTTGCAGGAGCCTATCCCTCCCTTTGAATACATGGTGTGGAAATGGTAATTGTAAAAGTCTTCTTAGTCTTATTACCAGGATCCCGGTGATTTA